GACTCTTTGAAAGCAACCCCCTCCCTTCCATTTCTTCCCTTAGTCTTTCCACTAAAACTGCTGTATATACCTTATACAATGATAGCATCAATGTCACCCCTCTATAATCCTCTACCCTTTCTCCGTTCTCTTTCTTCCTTATCGGTGTCCACCCCCTCCTTTCACTCTTCCAGCCATCTTCTCCTCTTCATATCTTGCTACACTGGCGACTGCTCTAAACCACTGATCTGCTTGACGCTCTACCACATTCCTCTCCCTAGATAACGCTCAGAGATGCCGTTCGGAAGCGATATCTCTGGCGCTATCCCGAGCGCACGGCGACTACAGAGAGAAACATTGTTATTGTACCAAATGATACAGCTGTCAGTCTCTCAAAGTCAAAGGTTGCTATCTTTTAAGACCTGCTGTCCATGTATGCCCGTCTCCACCGTTGCCTCTCCTCATTCGCTGCAAATAATACAAATAAGCCCCGGGGTCGACACCAATTGGCAGTCCCCGGATGCTTGGACGCAATGCGCCATGGGAGATCCACCATAGAAGGAGGAGGGCATACTTCTTCTCTATCCTAACCTCTCCTGCCTTCCAACTTCGTCCTCACTTTCCTATCCCTTTACTCTTCCCTCTCTGTCACCCATACACTCCCACATTCCTCTCACTACACTTCTTTCCCTCTCACTCACACCATTCTTCAATACCAAATCTTTCTCTCTCTTTCTCTTTCTCTCACTCTCTCTCCACACACTTAACTTACCATCATCTAACACACACCGGAAGCGGAAGTCCATAAGCAAAGCAATTAAATTTATTATAATTAGCTAATCTTTTGAAATAAACAAAAACATTGGGGTAGGCAAAGGTATGGACGATAGTATACTTACAATTTTGCATTAAAAAACTCATAGAAGTATTAACACTGTTTCAACGCGGCACATATACTTCAGTTGTGGCCATGTACACGCACCGGCGTTAATGCCGTCCGAATATCCGTGTGACTCGCACACGATAACACGTCACTCAACACTGCTGCGTGTAGGTGAGCCAGGAGCAGCACGGAGTGGAGGGAGCTAGCGGTATACGATCGTCGGACGCTTGGAGAGGGAATAGTGGTGGGAGTCGCGGCGATCTTCCATCCTCTATCGCAAACGTAAGAACGAGAGAAATAGCATTATAAGACGTCTGGACAGAAATGCCGTCCTAAAATACGTGTGACACACACTAAGAAAACGCTTGACTCACACTGTCTCGTCTATACGTGAGCAATACGCGGTGTCCCG